CCCTCAGCTGGACCAGCCCCGCCCCCTCCCCTTCCTGCCGTGGCCCCCCCATTCCTTGCACCCCTCTCCGGGCCTGGTGCACAGAGACACACGGGGCTGGTGCACCCCAGGATAGGACGTGCCCTTTTGAGGGATGCACAAGGACAGATGGGGCCAGTACACCCAGGGCACAATGCACCCCCCAAGGGCCATGCTATCACACTTGTGTGCACCAGGACGCATGGGGCTGGTGAATCCCAGGGCACGGCGCCCCCCTCAGGGCCATGGGTGTTTCACGCTGGGCTGCACAAGGATTCCTGTGGCCACGGTGAGCAGGGCCCTGAGTGAGAGCTATGCATGAAGAAAAGGGGTGGATGTGAGGGGGGCTCCCTGGGTGTGTCTACACAGCAGGGCTTAACTCAAAATAAGCTATGAGTCAATTGCATATCTTATATCAAAATAGAGCGCTCCTCCTCCCACTTCCCTTCCTCCTCTACAAAGAGGGTCCCAGGAGTCGGAGTAAGAAGTCCTCCAGCGTGACAGTATTTCCACACTATTTCCAAGGAACTGCCTGCTGTGTATGTAAGGTATTTTGGAAGAGCATTGTAGTGTAGACATGCCCTCCGTGGCCTGCCTCAGTAGCTACTGTAGGCTAATGGCGGGCACCTGGCCTCGCCTGTGCTCCCTCGCCCTGGCCCATGGCCCCCACTGCCCTCGGCCACAGCCCCATCCTGGTGAGCTCACGGCTCAGCTGCCAGGCCCCTCCATCCAATGGAAACGTTCCCACGGTCACCCCTTGCGTTGCAATGAGACGCTGCGGCACAGCCCTGGGCTGGTAGCTTCTTTATTCTCTGGAGGGAAAAGGACGCGGCACGCAGCCCCTCCAGGACGCCACAGCTGGGTGGGAGGGTATGGGCGCTGACAGGCATGTCAGCCTCTGAGGTCTCTCAAGGGGGCACCCAGGCAGGAGACGCTACCTCGCCAGGTGTCCGTGCACCGGGAGAACGGGACGGCCTTTCTGCCCTCAGATGGTGCAGTTGCTCTCTCCAAAGCGCCGGCATTTCATCAGTTTCAGGTAGGTCTCCACCTTGTGCAGGTCTTTCTTGAAGCAGGACAGCAGGCCGTAGTTTTTTAACAAGGCATCTTCGCTCCGCAGATTGACGTCAAACTTCTCGTACGTGGGTCTGAGGACTTGGAAGCCCCGAAGGCTCCCGTCTTCCAGCTCCTGCAGGGACATGGCGGCTTAGATGGGAGGGACACGCTCTTGGGTGCCTCCCTGCCTGTGCGCTCCCAAAGAAGGGGCTTGCACAGGCATGGAAAGCTGCATTCAGGCCCTGGACCGGAGCTGGCTCAGCATGTTTGCACGCGGATGGCTAGCTCCAGCCCTGCCCCTTGGCCCCAAGGCCCTGCCCCTTTTGAGGGCCAAGAGCCTGCTCCCTCCAGCCCCCAGGGAAGGCTCTTGTCAGCCCTGCATACGTTTCAAATCAATGGGGCTCCACTTGCCCCCCACGTTACACCAGCCAAGAGTTTCCTGTCTCGCGTAAAGGAGGCGAGTCCCGCATTGCTGCTCAGAGCTGCTGTGCCAACACAGACATTTCCCCAAGCAGACCAGGGCCACAGGACTTGGTGGTCCTGGGGATGCAGATGGATGTAGGTACCTAACTCCCATAGGCTCCCAAGACACTTCTGAAAATCCCACTCGGCCACTGCCTGCATCTTTAGGCCCTGACATGTTCTGGCAGGTCTGGCACTCAGAGCCCAGGCAGCCTGCGGTGCAGGCCGTGAAGCCCCCTCCCGTACAAAGCGACACGCGTGGCACAGCGTCCCTGAGAGACCATAACCACTTCCGCCTTTCAGAAAGCCACTTTTCCGAGGAGGACCACCACCCACCAGCTGGGCTGATTCCCCAGGGACTGGGTGGGACGTCTGCTCCTGTAAACGCCACCCCGGGGGATGGAAGACGTGTGTCTCAGGGCAGGGGCGCACACGCTTATGTCCCGGGATCGCCGGCAGCCAGGGCGGAGTGCCGCACAGGTGGAAGGGCACGGAGAACCGGGTGCCCCCAGGGGGAATTTTACACCAGCCTAAGGCATCTGGGCTGGCAACGAGATTCCCTGGAGACTCGTAAATCAGCTGCTGCTTTTTTGTTTTGTTTTTTAAGCTGCAACTGACGATTTTCTGCACTTCTGTTTCTTTTTATAAAATGTGGTCGAGTGTGTTTACAGCGGCTCTGACTTAAAGCATCTTGCCTGGGGCTACAGCAAGCTCCCTTCCCGAGCCTCTTCCATGGCAGATGGAGCCTATTCCAATATTGTTCGATGATAGTTTGGAAAGAACCCAGCTCTTCTCGGGTGTCGTGCGTGCAGGGAAGCGTTTTGTTTTGGTTTTTAAATGTCTGTATCTCTACACCGGAGTGTGTTTACAGCGGCTCTGACTTAAAGCATCTTGCCTGGGGCTACAGCAAGCTCCCTTCCCGAGCCTCTTCCATGGCAGATGGAGCCTATTCCAATATTGTTCGATGATAGTTTGGAAAGAACCCAGCTCTTCTCGGGTGTCGTGCGTGCAGGGAAGCGTTTTGTTTTGGTTTTTAAATGTCTGTATCTCTACACCGTGACCCCCCCCCCGGAGGGAGGCTGCTCTGGGGTGGGAGGGGCGGGGGAGGGGGAGTGGGGCTGGCCCCGGGTCCCTGAGGGAGCTCACGCCGCAGCCTTGAGCCAGCCCGCAAGAAAGCTCCTGGCCCGTGGCCCGTGCTGCCGCTCACCCTCATCAGAGCCTGGATCCCTTCTTCCAAGTCCCGCAGCTTGTCGTAGACCCTGTCGGAGGTGCCGAACACCAGGCTGTTGGTGAACACCCGGCTTAGGAACTGGACGGGGCTCAGCCAGGACTGGATGAGAATCAGCGAAAAGCGAAGCAGCTCCATGTCCTGAAAGGAAAGGAAATCGGGGTCCTGGCGCGGCTGGCAAGGGGGCGCTGCACCTCCCCCAGCTGGGCTGGC